GTCCTAAACAACAAGTTTGAGATGAATCGTAAATTAACCAACTATTTATTGATCTAATTTCTGCACATTTAAAGCCACTGGCACCTCAAATATACATAACAGTCTATTAACCTGATGAATCCACTCACTGCAGCTCATGCTAAATCACCTTATCTAAACAAATCCATTTGTACTTACTGCTATTTTTTGTCAACTGATGTCTTCTTAAAAACATAAAGTGATTATAGAGAATAGAAAGGACTGGCAAAGACTTAGGTCTCCTAGTCAAACAGCTGGAGTGGCTGCTAAGGTCTTAGATCATTACACAGTGAGGAACACATCAACTGCAAAGGATGTATTTTTTTCATATGATATTTAATCTCTCATTAATGTCAACTTTGTATCTGACTTTACGTGGACCCCACAAACACTGTAAACCTGACAAGTGTGTTTGTTAGATAGCCAAAATACCAACCTGACTGGACCCCTTAACACAAAATCAACCCGAGGGAGCCTTAAAGCAGACACACAGCTTAACTGACCATCAAAATAAAAAAATCAGATACATTTAAAGGACCTGACCAATCAGCAGAGTTTTTACAACTGCAGATTTAACACCTCAAGACCAGACAGGATGATCAGCTGGAATAAATACCTCTATCTCTCCGAGTGTAGATCCCTCAGGAGGCTCCTCTGCGGTACTGGAGATCTCAGCCTCAGATGTTTCAGCCACAGTAGGTGGTTCCATGTCCTAAACAACAAGTTTGAGATGACTAGTAAATTAACAAACTATTGTTCTGATTTCTTCACAATTAAAGATACAGGCAACTTTAAATACATTATGATTCTTAAACCTGATGAATCCACTCACTGTAGCTCTCATGCTAAATCCCATAATCTAAACAAAATCATCTGTACAAAACTACTATTTCTGTCGCTTGGTGTCTTCTTTTAACCAAAATGTGGATCATGGAGCCCAGAAAGGACTGGCAGAGACTTCAGTCTCCCAGTCAAACAGCTGGAGTGACCGGTAGGGTCTTAGATCATTACACAGTGAGGAACACATCAACTGCAAAGGATGTATTTTTTTCATTTGATATTTAATCTCCCATTAATGTCAACTTTGTATCTGACTTTACGTGGACCCCACAAACACTGTAAACCTGACAAGTGTGTTTGTCAGACATCTTAAATACCAACCTGACTGGACCCCATAACTCAAAATCAACCCGAGGGAGCCTTAAAGCAGACACACAGCTTAACTGAGCATCAAAATAAAAAAATCAGATACATTTAAAGGACCTGACCAATCAGCAGAGTATTTACAACTGCAGATTTAACACCTCAAGAGCAGACAGGATGATCAGCTAGAATAATTACCTCTATCTCTCTGAGTGTAGATCCCTCAGGAGGCTCCTCTGTGGTCCTGGAGATCTCAGCCTCAGATGTTTCAGCCACAGCTGATTGTCTGCCCTTCTAAGATTAGGATGAATGACAAGTTTGTTTGTTAGAGTGCTAAAATCACAACCTAACTGGAGCCCATTACATCAGAACAACTTGAGTAAGCTCTGAAAATGTACTTCAATTTTTGTCAGTAACAAAGACTTTGACAAACCTTTTTCCTCCTAGGCCAGTCATCCTGTTTTTGGACTTTTCTGCTTCTCAGCGTATACATCCTATAAAGGAAAATTTATGGTTTCAAGTTTTGATTTTTTTTATCTCTATGGACAAACATGCCAGGCCCAGTGCATGTCTGCAGTGTCATATAACTACTCAATAATGTTTACTGTTACTAAAATTACATTCATTGTAAACTTTAACAACCATGTGACTAACCAGTGAGTACTGACCATGTTGTCTGACACAAAATGATGAACTTGCTCCTGCTGCTTCACTGTGAACGGTCTGTCATTTACTTCAATTAAAAGCGCACGTGCCTAAGATGGCGGCTTTGCTCTCACTCCCCCCCACCCCACCCAACATAATGCACATTTCCCCAAATATGACCGTGTTGTAAAAGAATAAGATTCAGATAAAGATTAAACAAAATCAAGTCACATTTTCGGTGTTTTTTATAGTCAAAAACTTTGACAAAAAGTTACAAAGAGAACACAATGCGACCGTGAGACCGCTAGTTCTGCCTAACGAACTTTGCTAGCAGCTAGCTTTCTGTGTGCATGCCACATAATACCATGTGTGAAAACACCGGGTAACTTTTTGACAATAAAGTAATCACTTACCTAATTATTTTATCAGAATCCCACTTACCTTTCAGTTAAATCCTCTCCTGCTGCAGCTCAAGTCTCCCCTGCAGTCAAGTGCTTCTCACTCATCTCCGTACCGTCAGCTGAGGAGCGCTTACTCTGTATAGTCAGCACGTCCTGTACGGGTGGTGCTGCTTTAACCATAGATTCCTGTATCCGCCCGCCAGGCATTTCAATATAAATTTTTAAAGCAGCCCACTCCTTTTTGTTAGAGTAATAGTGTGTGTGTTTATCAGTTACCAGTTTCAATAAATGTATTTATTTACTAATTTAAATACACTTTTTGTAGTCAAGTGCTTATCTCTTCTCCAAACTATCAGCTAAGGAGCGCTTACTGCGCAAAACCGTTACATCCTGTGCGGGTGGTGCTGCATTAGTCACAGAATTTGTGTGTCCGCCCGCCAGACATTTGTTATTAAGGCAGCCCGCTTCTTTTGTTATTGTAGAAGTGTGTGTTTATCAGTTTCAATTTCAGTAAATAGGAACTTATTTATTTAAAAGGATGATATCATGTTTCTGACAATTAATCACTTTGTCTTGCCCAGCCTGCCTGTACTATCTCAAACAACAATAATCACGGTAATAATAATAATAATAATAATAATAATAATAATAATAATAATAACATTCTTACTGCAAGAATCCCAATTCTTCTACTGTTACCACTACTACTTCTATTATCATTTTATTAGTATTATTATTGCAGTACATTTTACTTGTGTTACTTTAAAAAAATACCGAAAGATAAGTGTCACAAAAACTCATGTTATAAACGAAGAAAAAAAAACAAAGCTTGGATAAAATGGCATCATCAGTGATTCCAGAGATGTGTTTTAGAGGAGAATTGGATTTTGGCAGATCAGTTTTCTGTTGGAGGTTGAGGCTCTCACACTCTCTTTCACCACTGGTCCTGCAGACAGGTCAGAAAGGAGTGTGAGAGTTGAGCAGGTCAGTAAAATAGGATTAGGACCTTATCAGTAAGATAGGGTCCTGATCATGGAGAGCTTTGTGAGTGAAGAGAGGGACTGTACAGTGAGAAAGTCTTTGGATTGGAGACTAGTGGAGGTTCTGGAGTAACAGGGAGATTTGCTAACAGAAGTAAGAGTGTGTGAGAAGGTGAGCAGCAGAGTTCTGGATATACCAGGGTTTATTGAGGACTTTGGGTAATGAACTGTTCAAGATGCTTTAGTACGCAATTCTGGATGATATGACAGCATTATTAGGGGATAATGCAGGTGAGAGAGCGGCTGAAAGAGCTGAGACAGGGATGAACTTGAGGTTCCTGAATGCTGATTTCTCTTTTTGACCATGAAAGCTGATGTGGATATTCAGTATTATTGCTAGATGGTGGTCATGAATATGGAGATTGTGGCTCAAGACTTGCTTAATGGTGAGACCAGAGCAAACCAGCAGAATGTGCTCACAACTGCGGGTGTGGAAGTTGATATTTTGTGTTAAGTTAAATAACTGCATTAACCAGTAAGGTAGAGCTTTAAAGTTTGAAAGAAAATGGTATGAAGGTTTGTGTTGCAGGAGTGAAGTAACTTTAATGCCCCTTAATGTACAAAAACCACACATGCCCCCATTTCAGGGTTTGAGAGGAGATAAAGTTTGTTATCGGTGATGAATTTATTCAGGGAGGGAAAGATTCCATTGAAAAATGAGTGTTAACTTACACCAGTTGCTTTGGAATTTGCTCAGAGGACTGGAGAAGAGAGCAGAGATTTGACAGGTCTACATGCTGTTCTTTGTTGTTATGATGCAATGAGCCAGTGGGACAAGACTATAGTGAAGGGTTAAAATTTGTGGATGAGAAGTGGTGTATGTATGAAAAATATGTGCAGAGCCTCTGCACAACATTATCTGTGGACTGTATCAGCCTTTCTCAGACTGTCAACACAGCCTTGGCAGAGGTGGTTAATGAACAGATGCAGTGCTAAGGAGTAATACAGTGAGGGGAAGCTAGTTTATAGCTAGTATTGGCAGTGGACCAGAGGCTAGGTGTCCTAAGAGGGAGAAGTAACAAGCAGCCCAGGAACATCTGCAGGTTACATCCAATCATGACAGCAGCAAAAACACTACAGTTGTGTATTGAGGAGATAAGAGGATAGCCAGGAGCAGCAGTCTGTTGTTCCTGCTATCTTCTGTGGCAGCTAACATTAGCCGACACTTTGGCTACCTGGCTATGTACACTGCTAACTTTTCTACAGATTGTTCACCCAGCAGCAAAAACACTACAATGTGTGTTGAGGAGAGGATAGCCAGGAGCTGCAGACTGTTGTTTCTACTACCTTCTGTAGCAGCTTACATTAGCTGACAAGTCAGCTACCTGGCAATGTACACTGCTAACTGTTTTACAGATTGTTCACCCAGCAGCAAATCACTACAGTTGTTGTGTACTGAGGAGAGGAAATGATAGCCAGGAGCAGCAGCCTTTTGTTCCTGCTACCTTCTGTAGCAGCTAACATTAGCTGACACTTTGGCTACCTGCTTATTAACACTGCTAACTTTTTTACAGATTGTTCACCCAGCAGCAAAAACCCTACACAGTGTGTTGAGGAGAGGGGAGGATAGCCAGAAGCAGCAGCCTTATGTTCCTGCTACCTTCTGTAGCAGCTAACATTAGCTGACAAGTCAGCTACCTGGCTATGTACACTGCTAACAGTTTTACAGATTGTTCACCCAACAGCAAAAGTACTACAGTTATGTGTTGAGGAGAGGAGAGGAGAGGATAGCCAGGAGCAGCAGACTGTTGTTCCTGCTTCATTGTGAAGTAGCTAACATTAGCTGACAAGTCAGCTACCTGGCTATGTACACTGCTAACAGTTTTACAGATGGTTCACCCAGCAGCAAATCACTACAGTTGTTGTGTACTGAGGAGAGGAAATGATAGCCAGGAGCAGCAGCCTTTTGTTCCTGCTATCTTCTGTGGCAGCTAACATTAGCCGACACTTTGGCTACCTGCTTATGGACACTGCTAACTTTTTTACAGATTGTTCACCCAGCAGCAAAAACATTACAATGTGTGTTGAGGAGAGGAGAGGATAGCCAGGAGCAGCAGACTGTTGTTTCTGCTACCTTCTGTAGCAGCTAACATTAGCTGACAAGTCAGCTACCTGGCTATGTACACTGCTAACAGTTTTACAGATTGTTCACCCAACAGCAAAAGTACTACAGTTGTGTGTTGAGGAGAGGAGAGGATAGCCAGGAGCAGCAGACTGTTGTTCCTGCTTCATTGTGAAGTAGCTAACATTAGCTGACAAGTCAGCTACCTGGCTATGTACACTGCTAACAGTTTTACAGATTGTTCACCCAACATCAAAAACACTACAGTTGTGTGTTGAGGAGAGGAAAGGATAGCCAGGACCAGCAGCCTGTTGTTCCTGCTGCATTCTGAAGCAGCTAACATTAGCTGACAAGTCAGCTACCTGGCTATGTACACTGCTAACAGTTTTACAGATTGTTCACCCAGCAGCAAAAACACTACAATTATGTGTTTAGGAGAGGAGAGGATAGCAAGAAGCAACAGCCTGTTGTTCCTGCTACATTCTGAAGCAGCTAACATTAGCTGACAAGTCAGCTATCTGGCTATTTACACTGCTAGCTTTTTTACAGATTGTTTTGCATTACAAATATCTGATGAATATAAAAAAATCAGGTCTTTATTTACAATGGACCAATATAATTTATTCAGTTTTTGTCTATTGTAATGCCATAAATTACATTTCTAAAAGTCATTCTCAGTACAAAATCATGTTATTGAGCAAATGTTTCTAAGAGTCAAAGAGCTGTAAGTTTTTAACTCATGATGTGCGAGAGCATTAACATCAGTTTACCAGACCAACCAAATCTCTTTATATGTGTAAATGTCCATCTCAGATATGGGTTTGTCTCACCTTTTTTTATTACTTGTTTTGGTAAGTCTGAATATATGGCTAACCCCCTAGACAAAGTGGCAGCTGCCAAACTCATGACACCAATAGGTGAGCCAGAGGCTAAACAACGTTTACTGTTTAAATCTAAAACCAGACTTTAAGTTAAGGCGAGGTAATATAAAATCTTTATTAAATTTGTCATACATTTGCAGTTCAATTTTGTCTGATCACAAAAATAGCATCATGAAAAATTGTGGTTTAACTTAACATTTCAAATAACTGGTCAATATAAAAAATCTAAATTAATTCATAATTAAAACTAATGCAGAATATTTTACATATGGTTGTCTTCTGATGTGATTGACTTTATTGTTACAGCCTCTTCTTTTAAATGCTCCAAAGTGTTTTTTTTTACCATATTCACCATATTCTGGTGGATGACTTCAGAAAAGCAGTAGCCACAAGAAGGCTTGTGCTCACAAATCACTTAATATTAGGTGCCAGGGACTAATGTTTTGAGAAATCCCTTGGAGCATTTCTATAATCTAAAGGTTCACATTCACAAGCTATATATAACCATGATGCTTCAAACCTGGACAACTAACTTTTGACGCTAAATCAAATCAGTTTACCATTGATTCAAAAAGGCTACCTTGGGAAATAAATAAATAAATAAATAAGCAAGATCTAAAAGCATTTTTTCAGTTTTTATCATTATGTTGCTGACTTCTTTGTCATAAATCTGTTAGTCACGAGCAACAGATGAATATGGCTCTACCTTACCTTGTCCCATGATCTATAACTTAAAACTTCTACTATATCCTTTCATTCAAGTGGAATGAATAGTCATCTTAAGTTAAAGAAGCTAGCTTAATCTCAGAGGGCTGTTGCATAGCATATTTCAATCAAGTGTGTGTACAAGTGTGTATGGCTGCAGTATCACTTTTCACCACTAGGGGCCAGTACTGAGTTACCTCCCACATACACACTTTAGCACACAAATGTCGGTAAATGTGTATTCTGGGGTGAACCCTGAAAATTTGACAGGGCACTATTTTAACCATTCTATCACTGAATAATAGGTTACTTTTTGTGGGGTCCAGGATTTTGGTCCCCACTTTATTTTCAGTCCCCACGCTGTGAGTGGGCTATCACATCTCGGTACCAACAATGTATTAAAGACAAACACACACACACACACACACACACACACACACACACACACACACATATATACACAAGTTTGGGTTATAAGAGGACTCGACTTAAGAACGTCGGTCTTCAACATGGGGACGTCACTTCCCCCTTTCATTCAACTACAAATGTGCCGATCACTGATTCTTCAATGATTGGGATCAAATCTACAAATCCAGGAGTTCATTCAGACTAAAGAAAAGAAAGACTCCGAGTTAATAAGCACCAGTTTACACCATTTCGAGCTCCTGTGAGGAGTTTTCATCCAGTTATGAAATCAATTCTGATCAATAAAAAATCAATACAAAAGAAGAAAGACCATCACTCACAAGCGAGATCATTTCTAATGCAGAAAATCACTGCTGCAGGGAGGGTGTCAGACGAAATAGTTTTACAGCAGACGCATCTGTTCTTTCAGATTTTCAAAGTGTGATATATCGGACTGAAAAAAAAACCAATATGAGTTTTTTTGGGTGGGAAAACAGTAGAAAAGCTGTGAGAAAAAGGAGCACCACTCAGTCCACGGGGAGTGTGAAAACTCAAACTAAAAGTTTCTCATAGGAGCTTTAAGTAGGAGGAAGAGGATTCACATAAGTCATGATAGAGTCGTGGTTATCTGCGATGCCTTTCTTTCTTCACCACCCAACGCCTAACACTTACAGGATTTTTTTTCCGGTTTTGATTATAAGCGTGTTTTTATTTACTACAGTTACATTGTTAAGTTGCAGGAAGAAGTTCAAACAGTAAGAAAATTAATTAACGTGTGATTTTTTAGCACCCCCTGAAGAGAAATAGGTCCTAATGTTGTCATTTGTTACCTGATGTAGATACATTACACAGTCTTTAGCGGTGTATCCAACCCCACTCTCTCTCCCCTCGGCAAAAATATCTCAAAAGATAACTTTAAAAGACAAGAAATGATTCCAAGTAAAAACATTTATGCTTATATATAAGGGCTGCCAGTGCCATCGATCAAACAGGATGTGATTAAAATCCAAAATTAATGTATGAATTGAAAAAAAAAAGATCATTTGCATGCTGTTTTATTTTACTTACAACAAACTATATCAACCCAACGGCTGTCTCCCTGCATATGCTGCTATAGTAGTTGGAAATAGCTGCACCTAAACACTAGTTTATGGCATACTTCACAAAAAAAACGAACAGGCGCTTTTATTAATTTTTATTTATTTGTATCCTGCAGAATTAAAATTATACCAAAGTACTTTGAGTTGGGGCTGATGTTGACTGTCATTTGGGAACAATATACTTTTAACGCAAACAGGAGCAGTTTTTTAAAAAAGGCAAAAAAACTGGAACTCCTTAAAAGCACACATGCTGTTTCTGGAGATAACAGGATGTCAGTATCTGTGCACCATATAGACACTGTATTTGTCAGAACTTTTAAGTGCTCTAAAGCCGTCTTCTGCCTCTAAGTCATAGTTTCAGATCATAATGCTGTAGCAGTGGAAGACATATTTGAAAGAAGTAGATTTCATTGCATAAATTTGGTTCCCAATAGGAAGAAATCAGTTAGAAATGCTTTAGATTTTTCTGGGAAACATCTTTATGAAAAACCAGAGACTTTGACGAAGCGCAGACAAAATTAGCTTTTACACTAAATATTTGATTTTAGCTGTGCAGACAAAAATGAAATGAGACATTTGATGCAAATAAGACATACATTTTTCATCAAACATCTTAGCTGCCTCGCACATTTCTTAACTAAAGTTTGTTCTCAGCGCTCAAGTGTTTTATACATGTCGCCCCATGTCTCACATGTAAAATGGATGAACCCCCCGCTGTGAGGAGACATGAATTGAGAATACCCTTCTCATGAATCCATGCTTCTGTTGCAGCACGCGTGATAAAACTATCAAGATTGTGTAAGTACAAAATAACTCAGACCATCCGTGAACGGATTCAGCTACAGGTAGAGCCGAACACTAATCAGCTACACAGGAAGACCTCTGACAATATAACCAAGCAGCCGCGGGTCCTCATTAAAACCAGGAGTCACAGTGTCTATATAAAGAGAGGTGAGGTGTGAGTGCATGAAGGTGTGCCTGCATGTAGGCATGTTCAGCGCTTGTGAGTTGCATTCAAGACTTTAGATCCAGGAGGGAAGATTTCACGTGTTCGTACTCCAGATGAAGGATCACACCAACTTATGCACTTATGATGAGGTTACAAGTCTTAACTTTTCAAGGAAGATGTCTAAAACTTGTGAAAGAATAACAAACTCCTATTCAATATTTCTTTAATGGATTTTAATCTACGCAGCTACAAATTTATTAACCACCACATCTGATCTCTTGCAGCAAGGTGAACGTAAACTATTTCGATTTTCAAGCAATTTCTTACTCATTAATTATTCAAAAGTGCCTGAAGGGTGCGCTTTTCTATTATTTCCCTGTGATGTACGATCATTAGTATAAATGTGTGTGTTTGACATGCATGTTTTCGATGTCTTTAGGTCCACTTTTGACCTCTCTAAAGTCTCCCTGAGGGTCTGTTCCGCTTCATAACACCACCCTAACTCACACGATCAATATTGAGTAACATGGATATGTTTCTTAATGATGTCTTAAAGATATTTTGCTGACTTTGAGTTTACATAAAAGTAAAAATACAAGAACAGCCTGGAGTCAAAGCACATTATTTGTAAAAGTGCAGGCTTTTACTGCTGGAATAGATTAATTTAAGGGCAAAGTGGGAAGACGTAAAAGAGGCGAGACATCGCTGCAGCATCCCTGCATTCATGTTGTAAAGAGCCAGAATCAAAACCTAGACTCTCAACTCCCAACCCTGCATACCTGCTATTTCCTGGAAAAACACGCCACCCCCCACAGTCAGCCAGCAGCACTGTGAGTCAGGCCTCTGCAGGGCGCTCTGTGGGACACTCTGAATCCCGACTGGTTTTACTGTCGCTGACGGTGAAGAGCTCCATTTCTCTTCCTTTCTGAAAGAGGCATGTCCTGACTGATGAAAAAGCAAACGATTGAATGTTTGATTGATAGCTTGATTGATTGTGAATAACGTTGACGGACATTATTATTGAGCCGACTCCTGGAGAGGACAATGAAAGAGTGGTCTATGATGCTTGTGGGTTGCATCCAATCGGATTGAAGAGAAGAGAAAGGATGGAGTGGATGAGGACAGAGAGACAGACAGGTAGATGGAGGTCATCACTTCTACGGTGTCAGCTATCTCTCTGTAATCTCAGGGATGGGGGAGAAGACTGTGTTTAATATTGGCCAAATAACATGACTGAAAAAGAGGGAGGGAGGCTCTGCTCCGAAAGAATAAAATAAAATAAAATAAAACTGAACACTTGACTCTTCCATCTACAACACCATCACACAGGCCTGATTTTGTTCCTAGAAAACACAAAAATGGCTTTTTATGTTCATTGCTGTGGTTTATTTGCAGGTTTTGCTGCATTAGTTTTAGTCAAAGAAGATAGATTAAGTGTGATAATTCAACTGAACGCCTATTTCAGACACATTCTCCTGCCTCTGCTGTCTGTGTTCAGTCTTTTAATCTACTTACATGCTTAAAAATGCAAATGACTTATAGATTTGATAATATTTTGTTAAGACCAGTAAAACAGCACGACTCACTGCTATCCTTACAATACTGCAAGTCATCCTTATGTTGAACTCTACTTTTAGGATGGTGATTGAAGTGCCCCTCAGGTAAGTCTCCTCCCAGCATTACTTAAAACGGTTACCCTTAGAGCCCTCAAAAGAGTAGCACCCCTAGAACAGATGTGATTGGTTAAAATAAAGTTTAAACAGCCCCAGGGTGTTTCCCTTCTCTATTGACAGGTCTCGCCTAAACCAAGAGCTGTAGTAACGTCTGCCGCTCTCTATTTACTGTTTCGAGTTCAGCTCTCCGCGGCGTTAGAGGGAGCACACAGGAGCACTCATGCATGTGAAGTCTGACAACATGAATTTAACTTGTGGGTTTCATCCACGAGTTAAAATCACTCTGAATGTCAGGGTCAGATATGACTTTACAGGAGTTAACATATTACAAAAAAAATGAATCCACACAGATGTGGATCTCAAATGTCAAAAGAGAAAAGGAGAGAAAAGGGAAAACCTTTAAAGAAATCACATTTGCCAGAACAGACTGTTCTAACGCTAATCATCGTGAGACCTCATCCTCACGCCCTGTCCATGGTTCTGAATCGAGTGGACTCACTCCGATTCCACACTAACTGTTGAGAGTGCCGCACAAATGTTATTCACGAAGCAAAACAACCCTGAACAAGAGATGTAACGATTACTGGAATCATGGTAAACCGCGGTAAAATGTATGACGTTTAGCACTACCTTTTCAAATTTTAAGTGCCGCACTCTGGAAAAGCTCACAGTGATACTGCTCAATGCTGAGAAGAGCAGCAGTCCTTCAGACACAGGCAGTGTACAGCTTGTAAACATGGCGGAGGGCAGTTCTGCTGACTGTTGCAGAGATTTTTCCACTGTCAAAGGAAACAGTGCGAAGTCTATGCGTATTTCGGCTTCTACAAAAGGTTGTGAGGGTTGCCAGGAAGCTTTTGTGCATCCCAGCAACCAGCGTGCCATCCGAGAGGCTATTCAGTGCCAGCGGGAACATCGTTTCCCCCTCGCAGATCACGACTCAAACCAGGAAAGTAAATCTGCTGACGTTTTTACATTTCAATCTCAAGTAGTGAACAAAGTCAGCTGCAGCACCTTATGGTGGAGAAAATGGACAATCGGTTTGTGTGGTTCATTTGATTTATTTACATATTTTATGTTACTTTAAACACCTGCACTACACATTTGTTTACATGTGGTTGTATTGTTTCATATAG